TATTTTAACCATGACTTTAAAGATATATATTTTCATTAATGACGATAATGGGTCGTAAGATTGATATCGAATCATGTTATGTGAGAATTTAGTCAATCAATTAAGTCGGTTTGGTGGGTATTGTTAGTTTCATTAAGAATTGACATATCATGTTAAGTGTACACGTCATTTATGTCGTGTCGTGTCAAAATGTCCAACTCATACAAGTACGACTTATTTATCAAACGGATATGATAGATTAACATCATTACGACCCTCAAAACTTTTAAAGTTCAACTCATGTCTAGTATCTACTTGTAAGTTGAGTATTAAATGGACCGAATGATGTATTAGAATTGTCATTCTTAGTACTGACAACGAAAAATTAGCAATTCTATGTCAAAGGACTTCTCATGGATTTACTATGTATCATTGTCACTAATATATAAATTTTCATATGTTCTGTTAATGCACATACCAATCTGTTTTAATAAACTCGGACAACTTAGTATGATAAATCAATAAAACTCAACTTACGAATAAAGTCTCCAAATTGGACCAAAACCAGACAAGATGATGCTGGACTATTATTTTATACTATATTTCTAATGTGTTAGATCATATGTTTATAATTGACTAATTTTGTAGAGTATATTGTAAATCTCAACCTATGTCATGATCATGATGTTACGAAAATTGAAACTCCGAAAGTGTCATTGAAGAGAGAGGAGATCAAACGTCAAAGCTACATCATTTGCACTTCAAATGCGCCTTCAAATTTAGGACAAAAGTAAAGACCTAGAGACTTAAGATGATTCATTGGTTTAATAGACATAGAAAGATTAGAGTTAAAATGGAATTAGATTTTTTTCAACTAAAAGATTTTCTAAAACCGTTTTGTGTTTTTAAAAATATAGTTTGAGTCATTAGTGGACCCTTATTGAGCAACACCGTTTAGCGTCGATGAGGACAAATTTTTTGTTTGATTTTAGGCTTAAAAAAATATCAAGGCCTTGCTCTATGTTCATTAGCCTTCATTAGAGCGGTCTCTTTCTAACGTATAGAAAAAATGGGAAAGAATAAATGACGGAGGAGTAGGGAGCGTCCTTAAGGCCGCTCGAGCGGTCTATTCTCCTAGGTCGGGTTGAAATATGTTTTTCAGTGATCACCACTCTCTAATAGTACTCCCACCGTTCGAATCTCTCTTGGAATAGTAAGCTAGTTTAGCAGATATCCAAAGTTTGGTAACACCATGTTACACAAGCAATCCAAATCCTTCTATTATATTTTTTCTCGATTTTTTTTAATTATAAAATGTGCACTATTTGAGCATCCACTTGTATATAGTTTTTGCTAATCTACCATCCACAATAATTGAAGCCAGAAGTACGGAACGATCCAAATCCCTACAGTTTGACTATGATCAAATTTCATATCTAAAAGACTGATATATAGAGTACAAATGCAATAGTGAAAAAGGAATTTAATGTAAATAGACTTCAAGATCCTCCAGTTCATGATTCAATAGTGTCGATTTATGATTGATCTAAAAATTTACTGAGCAATATCACTTTTTTTTTAAACCAATCTCACATTGTTATTTTTTCTTGGTAAAATATATTTCTTATTAAGAAGAATATAATAAAAAGATTAGTATAGGGTATCAAAATCAATTATGATATCATCCTTCATCAATCACAAAGTACCAAATTAAGAATGGAAAAAATGATAGAGAAATTTCTTGAGATTCTCTAATGTACAGAATGATCATCACAACCCGCACGAGGCATCTTCATTGGATTCCTTCTTTATGTTGGCTCAGCTCAGACATAGAGATACCCACAATCTGACACCATGATCTCACCTTGTAATACTTTAACATATCATCCCCACCCCCCTCTCTCCTGTACAAAAGGTTTAGTTCTCATTTTTATTTCTCTTATTGCTGCTTCCACTCTAAAAGTTTTCTTCACAGCTTACCACCAAAGAATCTAACAGCAAGTAGCAACCATGTAGAGGCTTTTCTAGGGTGGTCAAAGTGCATTATTCTATTTAGAAAAATACAATTTGAATCTAATTTGCTAACCTAATGTATCATAGTTATTAAAATTATAATAGTTCTGAACCAATAGTGGAACTTATTGTTAATTTAACGGTAAAAACTTTAAATTGACTCCAACTTATTCTTATTTTCATTTAATATTCAATAATACTACATGTACTGCCTTTTTACACTCACCGGCCCGATGTGAGCCATTAGATTAGTGTGTTCCATTGAGTATATTAACCATTCAAAGGCTGCAATTCTGATACATCAGGTTGTAAAAATAAGATTGTGCATAAAAGTAGTGAGCACACAGTCTCAGCATGTAGAAAAAGATTAGGTCTCATTTTCAGATCAGCGTTTCTTCTGCTTAAAGTCGTCTACTAGTTTTGGCACAAAAAGAATCTGAATTATTACTGCAATTAGCAACACAGGTGGGATACCCTAACCCTCGAACTATATTCTCATCCCAATTCCAAAAGTGGCACATGGGAAGACCTACCTCTTTTTAGGAAGCTTTTTATAGCTAAGATGTATGTGAAAGCATCCCCTCTAACAATTTTTCTTATTTAGTGTGCGTGCAAGATCCTGTACAATATAAAAAACGAGAACAGATCTCTTCCTTGGTGAACTCGAGTGAGCCAGTTGAGTGACCAACCACGCTGTTTGGAACAGCTTGCGAGGTCCGGTGGTAACCTGAAACGGCAACGGGAGACCCTGGGGGAGCGGAAGAACGATCCAGTAAGGCCGAAAGAGGTTCCTGGAACAAAGAAGAATCAGTTAGAAGGGCGCCAGAGTGTTTTCTGGCGTATCCCCTCTGACGATCTAGTCAGTCTTTGAGAAAGAGAGAGGAAGGAGAAAACACTGAGTACGNTGTGCGTGCAAGATCCTGCACAATATAAAAAACGAGAACAGATCTCTCCCTTGGTGAACTCGAGTGAGCCAGTTGAGTGACCAACCACGCTGCTTGGAACAGCTTGCGAGGTCCGGTGGTAACCTGAAACGGCAACGGGAGACCCTGGGGGAGCGGAAGAACGATCCAGTAAGGCCGAAAGAGGTTCCTGGAACAAAGAAGAATCAGTTAGAAGGGCGCCAGAGTGTTTTCTGGCGTATCCCCTCTGACGATCTAGTCAGTCTTTGAGAAAGAGAGAGGAAGGAGAAAACACTGAGTGTGTATTGTAGTAAAGAGTTTTTTGTTGCATACCCGTCTTGCCTTTTGCAAGGAGTATTTATACCTCAAAAGCTCATGATTGCTGTCAGTGTAGTCAGTAGGTGATCATTAGGTACAGGCAGTGTGCGCACTGATTCTGATGAGGAATGTCTTCTCTTCTTAACTGCTCGGGGTCCCGAGCAATCAATGCTGGGTCATCGGGATGCCGACGGTACAATGTACTCCTCTCGGGGAGGATGCAATAAATGCTCTGTATTAGGAGCATTTATTGCCTTTCATTTCCGAGCCTTACCGCATTGAATGCGGTCTCATCAAGGGAATGGTGTAATTAATAGTTTGCTTTCCCAAGTCGCGTGTCAGCAACGACATGCGGTTTTTCTGTTTTCGATGTGATATCATACGCCACACGTCCATCCCCTATTGGTTGTAACCCCTGCATTCCAGTACGTTCTGACACTAATTGTGTAAGACGAGGTCATGATGAATAGCCTAGGCTAATGACCTGTACGTCAATAGCTTATCCTGGAGTAGAGGAAACGTTCGGGACGGGGTACCTCTCGGCACCGAGGAAAGGCTCATCTCAGAACCGAGGGAGGTATGCCGACCGAGGTACCATATCAGACCGAGGCCACATGTCTGTTGTAAAACATACTGAATGCATGATCCTATATGACGAGTACCTCGGGGGCGAGGACCTTTGTGCGCGATGGTGCTTGATCTTAGCAACAGTGTTTTGATAATACCGAAGACACGTGTCTTCGTCATGGAATATTTCAGAAAAGTCTCATCACTTAGTAGTAGATAATTTATTATTGATGGGTGGGGGACACATCTTTAAATGTTAAGACGATGTTTTAAAAATGAAAAATGTTACCGGTATTTAATTTGGACACTCAATGTAAAGATATAAACAATTAAGCTATTAAATTAAATATATGTGGGTTAAATTTAAAATCGAAACTCTCAATTAATTTAATGATTATAAGGAATTAGATTCCTGAATTAAATCCTCAAACTAGAACACTATAGCGTTGATGTTTAGGAATAACACCTCTACTGAGTACCTTCTGAAGGAGCCAAACTTCTTTCAATACTTAATCTCTTGAATTTTATGGTGACAAAGTTTATTTTCAATATTGGGTTGAAATTTACAATCTAATCACATTAAGTTCAGACTCAAATATGAAAATTATGATTCAATAATAACGATTTTTAGGATTGATACTAACTTTTTAAGATCTGTCTTAAATTTTTAAATCTTATTGATTGATAATTTTGACCTTATTGTAAATTGATTTCATTCAAGGAGCATTTTAGTTATCCCCATTGATATTGACGATTCATACAAACTTAATCAACACAATCAAATGCAAAACAGGAGAACAAAGAAGTCTTAGTTCTTTCACTTTCTTGGGTTGACATAACGTACAAAAGCAGGTAGATGCAAGCTCCAATCACACACATACACAGGCTCAAATCCATCAACAAAATTTCACTCTTTCAAACTCCAAAAGTCAGTCATAAATTAAAAATGATAAAAGATAAAAAGATGAGCAAATCCAGCTAAATTAGCTCATCAGTATACCCTACACAACACACCCAAACTAAAATCAGGACCAGGAAAAGAAAACTAACATCTGCTTCTAATAGCACTCACAACAAACCTCAAATTCTCACACACAGTTTCACTCCTCAAGTAATAGAACACAAACTATATTTAAAGCATCCACAAAGATCATGACTAAAGAAAATAAAAGAAAAACTGAATCTTCTTAGTTCTTCCTCTGTGAACATTGAACACAAAATTCAAACTGGGATGTCTTGAAGTGCAAAGAAGAAGAAGAGCTCTAAATCTGGTGGAGCAAAGAAAGCAATGGGTGTTCTCTGCAATGAACAGCTTGAAACTACTCTTCTCTTCTTTGGTGCTGGAGGGCAAGTTTGAATTTCTGGTATCCGGAATCTCTCAGCTTTTGGAGTCGAACAGGCACTGGTGGGCACATCAGCACCGTTGAGATCAATGAAATCAATGGTTGATGAACTCTCGGAGCTCTTGGCTGAAGATTTTGATGGTGAAACCACTGAGATTTCTCCATTTTCCGATGGATTAAGCCTCTTCTTGAAATGGGATTTTCTTGGTTTTCTTGCACTTCTTGTCCTTGTTCTTCTTCTACCAGATGGAGCCATTTCAGACAAGAATAGAATCAAATTCTGCTAAAGTTGAAGACAGTTTTGATAGAATGCAGTCTCAACAGAAAACTTTAGTGAATTTAGCTAAAGGACCACCGACCACTAAAGGTCTAAAACACAACCACCATTTCTAGAAAACTTGGAAGATTTGCTTTATGAAACTACTGAATTTTTGACTGGAAAGTGGTAAAAGGCCAAGTAACCACCACCTCTTTGCAAACAAGCCTTTTTATAGCACAAGAAGAACTTCTGCTATGGACATCCTAGAGCTGCTCCTTTATATGTTAAAATTCCAACTGAAAACTCTCAAGGAGAGAGAATAGGGATCAAATGGCAATCTTGCAGACACCCATGTGAAATCATCAAATGTTTTTGCTAAATCAGATAATCAAACCCAACAAAAGCATTAGAACAACTACTACATATAAAGACCACAAGTATCATGTTTCCCATGAAAATCTTGAGGATCAGCCCTAAGAGAGTTTATCAGAAAGAAAAACCCACCAACTAAAAAAGGGTAGAAGCAAACCCACTTCACTACGGGTTGGTGACTCGTGTAAGGTCCTAATCAAAACCCTAGAGAGAGAGAGAGACAGAGATTTTACAGTTTGGTGATTATTAGGGTTTATATTGATGGGGATTGATTCGGGTAGTCTGCCCGCTGCCCAAGGAAAAGATAATGGTTAACAAACCTTAAATTAAGCTAATCACAGAGAGAGAGAGAGAGAATTCAAATTAGACACTTCCTTTTTTCCTTGATATTTATTTAAGCAAGTATTCAAGTTTGACTTAATTCAAACATAATTCAATTTGAGAGAGAGAGAGAATTCAAATTAGACACTTCCTTTTTTCCTTGTTATTTTATTTAATTAAGTATTCAAGTTTGACCTAATAATTCAATTTGAGTTGTGGAGCTCCAACCCCATTTCAATGAAGATCATGTCAATGACAATGATAGAACCCAACAAGCATAAATATAATTCAGTTTGTGTTACAATGTCCCTCTTTCTTGTGGTTACCATAAACAGGAATGAATCCAAGAACTAAAGTGAAATGGGAAAAGATTATGGGATGTGTGAAAGTGCAAAAAATATTAATTTAGGACTAAATTTTAGAAAACAGCAATTAAGGATGATGTAATAAATATTATATAATTCAAATAATTTTCAAACCTTTAGTATATGGTGGTAGCTCCCATCTGTCTCCCTACATCTATCATTGCCAGCCATGGCCCTCCACAAATCTACAAGTGCTTAATTAACCACTTCTGACAATTTCAATTTTATTTCAAGGAATTTAACCAAATTTTATGTTGCGTAACACATTTTCATCTCAATGTTGGAAAATAAACTTGATTTAGAAGTTATGTCCTACCATTAGATTTTTTTTTTTTTTTTTCATTGGGTGTGTGAATTTTTAAGGCATGGGAAGAAAAAATGTGCTAGTGGTATATTATTAATATAGAATGTAGTGGAAGAGTGATTTGTGAGGGTAGAGTGTTGTGGTACTAAGTAATGGAGAAAGGGCTTCTTTATACTTTAGTGGTTAATTGCTAGAGTTATTTTAATTTGAGTGTTCAAGCACAAATACTTTCTTACATTTTGTTTCTATTTCTCTTTATCTACGACAAAGTAGTATCACCGATGCTTTCTAATTATAACCCGAGTAATTTGGAGCAATTCCAACACTCACACATGATTAAAAGAATCGACTTATCATCAACCTTTTCTTTGTTGTGTCACAGTGTATAGTTCATGTATGATCAGAACTATTGTTCATGAATGAAACACACAGAGACATATCTAGTGTGTTTCAATTGAATTTTTAAGTTTTTTCGCCTTATCCAGCCATTGGACACTGATCTATTTGCCCTGGCAGCTGGCATTCAAAGCTGCAAAGGGGCTCTCTCGGATACATTTGTTCTCAAATATTTTTAATAATAAATCATTCATCATGAATTTGAGCATTACCCAATTTATATAAGTAGAACATCTATCATCGGTACGTGATGGTAAATAACCATCGAGATAAATTGAAACTAAGTGTATTAGAATGGATTTAAATTACGAATACTCGAAATTGTGTCTCTAGGGATTGTTTTGTTTGAGATCAAGTTGAGACAAGTCTATCCCCTGGGTGATTATAAATGAGAAGATTAACAAGGACTTGGGAAAAGGACATTAAGTGTTTGCTGAAATGCCTGAGTGAGGCATTTTTCAAATCATCCTCACCTGGTCAGACCTTTTAAATCTATGTTGGATACCCTCGGTTAGGGCACATATTGTCTTTAATTAAGATTTTGTAGGGCAGGTTGAGCTTTGGATACCCCCACCGCCAGGTGAACTTAATCCCCAGTCTTATTCTCAAACACGTGCACTTCACTGAATCTTTTGAATTTTGTTTTGTTTGATTTAAATAGATACCATTCTATGACCTTGTTCTGTGTGCTAATGTCCGGATAAGAATGAATTTGAATTTTTCTTACTTGCTATTCTAATCCATACATTTCACAAGAGTGGTAATTACATTTTTTCCCGCCATGTATTGATAGTGATAGGGAATCTAGTAATGTGTAATAAGTTTTACTTAAATTCATGATATCCACCGGTCAAAGTCGTTTAGTAAGTCAATCATATATAAATGATCTAAAAACAACATAATACTATACAAATTAAATCTTCAATATGCATATAAAACTCGGGAAAATTCTACGGTACCTAAAAAAAAATTTCAATACTAGTATCGTCGGGTACTACTTTGTATGATAAAATTACAATTTTAAAAGAAAGAGTTACAACTGCTCAAGAGATATCATAATCAATCACAAACACCCGTGATCGATCATGAAAAACGTTATATCAATCCCAACATTCTATAATTGATTATGAAACACACGCACACCGAAAATTTCCTTCATTCAGTCATGCACAAGACATAAAGATGCAAAACAGAGCCACTCACAACGCATAGTAAAATGTTTTTTTTTTTTTTCTCTCCAATATGGACTTCAGAATATGAGTATAGACAAGATTCATCTTTTTCCTTTTTCTTTTTCACATCTTTGTTTATGGTGCTTGATACTAAAGGGCAACTAAACTGGGGCAGGGGCAGGGGCAGGGGCAGCGCAGTGGACGAGTTTTCCCACCACTACGAATCTGGGGACATCAAAATCTATTCAATACCAGGCATTGAACATTTGGGACTTCAGACACAACCCAGAAATTTCACGAGCAGACAACCAGAATACTCCCAACAGGTACATTCCCAGGACACAAAGTAGCTCAAGTTCTTAAAGAGCAAATATGGTATATAACCTCAAGCCATAAGCACCAAAATTGTTAAAATAACATCTGGATTAACTACCCTGTGAGACCAATCTTCACAGGAACACACAATAGTTGTCACAACCACAACTATAAGCAAAATGCTTCTGAACATAATTATTACAAATGCTTTCAACACCCCTAAGAGGATTATGACAATAAAAATTCCAGAAACACAAGTTTTCCATCATAAGAATCATTAAAACAAAAAGAAAAAAGAATCAAGTTTGACACCACTAATAATAAACATATCCATCATAATGTTAACACTAGTCAAGCAGAACGAAAACAATATAGAGTTTACTCTTTATCTTGTTTTATATGTGTAGATTTTTTTTTTTTTGAGAGAGAGAGATTCACAAACAAGTAGTTGGATACCCATTCTTGATCTTATGAGAGGCAAAAAAACAAGGTACACATCTGGCTACCAATCTAACTGATGAAACCAGTAATACATTAATGATTGAACATCATCCTAAGGTATTTTCTTCTTCTATGGAGGTTAAGAAGACCGAGGTAAACCCCAAGATGAGCATAGATACAATTTCACCAAGATCAAACTAGTTTGCAATACTGATAACAAAAAAGGGCAGAAAAAAAAACTGTCAGCCAATAAAGACGGACCAACTAACACTATTTTTGAAAAGTGAGGAGAATACATTATTACATCACCAGGCAGGAAAATAACAGCTTCAAGCTGAGAAAGAAGCAGCAGCAGCAGCATCAAAAACTTCTGAGCGCGATTTTACTCAGTTTAATGTTAATTGGTCTTTTTGTACATGTTTTTAGTTTGCTATTTGATTTTCTCACTGAGAAAACCACAAAAACTACTGATCAGAAAAGGGAGTAATATATTTGTGCAAAATATATGCATGAAATTGTTATGCACAAGTCATGTCGCCAAAAATGAAGAAAGATGTCACATGCATAACGCCATATGCACAATCCACACAAAAACAAAAATAATATATATGAAAACAACAAAAGAAAAACTAAAATAATGCACAATCAATCTACTTTTTGCTGCTAAAACAACAAAAGAAGAAGTTTAAATCTTTAGACTAAGAAAAAAACTGGAAGCACTGTGCCAATCAATTCTAAGACATTAGAGATCATTGAAATGCAGAATAGCTAGAGCACATTAAGAAAAAAAAAATGTTTCACCGCCCTCTTGAAATTATTTCATTCAGTTCCTCAAGGGATGATGGGAAGAGCTCTATATAACGCCTCCCAAGTGTCATCCTATCCTTTGCCATTGCTGCTTTTGCATCCTCCACGCTAGGAAACTCCACAAATGCTTCACCTGTTGGCCTACCATCCAAATTAACTGTCATATGAATAGAGTCCTCTGGTAACTCAAAATCCTTGAAGAAGTCCACAATATCATCCTTGCAAGCGGAAAATGGCAATCCCCTCAATCGCAATACTGTTGTCTGTTCAGTCAGTTCCTTTCCCTCTTCTGGATCATATCTGTCAACAAAAACTATATTATACCCTCATGTACTCAAGTTTAAGGTTAACAATCCAAAGTCCCAGGTACTTGTCTCATAAAACATATACAGTTGAAACAAACATACGGTACACGATTCATGCATAATAAAGAGCAAAAATAAAACTTACAAGTTAAAATAATACTAAAATATTAGGTCTTCTCTTTCGCAACAAGTCACAAGTATTATCCTTACCTTGAGCAATAATCCAAACAAGCACCTGCACCTCAATAGGCGCACTATCCTCCCAGACCAGTACATAAGGTTCAAAAACAGGGGAATTTAAGTATATTAATCAACCAATGGAAAAAGAGCTAAATAAAAATAACCCGAAGAGTCAAGGCCACAACCATTTATCAAGAACCAGAACCTAAGTAAAAATAACCAGAACCGTTTATCAACCGTTTATCTTTGAAAAAATAAAGTTCTATCCCCCTTGAGAAGGACAACAAATCATGCTAACCACAGTAACATTGTGAGTATACAACAAAACAAAGGAAGATTCACATCTCCAAGCATCTTTCCCAAACGGACTCTCTTCTCCACCAACAATATTACATTCCACTAAGCAATCCACACCTTTAGAGGATAGAAGCTTGGTTGTTGGAGAGGCTACAGGAGTTGAATGCAAATGTGGCAGAAGAACTAGGGACAATCTATGTTAACCTTCTTACTATGGTTTATATGGAAGGCAAGAAACCAGTAGGGGCCTATCAACATAGGAACCCCTCTTACAAGAATGTAGTCAACCTTGCTGTAATAGCCACTGAGGAGGTGGGGCATGCTGGGAATAGGATTGTAAATCAAACAGAAGCTAGGGGAAGGGAGGCACTTGTATGGAATACCCCTAAGCAAGGATGGATAAAAAAAAAACCATGATGGTGCAAATCAGGAGAAGCAGCAAAAAGGAGCTTATTACGTTATTCCCTAAGATTCTGAGGGGAAAGTGCTAAGAGCAGAATCAGGGGTAATAACAATAAAGTCTCCGTTGGGAGCAGAAGCTTGGGCTGTTAGAAAGGCTTGTAATCTAGCAATGGAAGAAAATTTCCCCTTGGTGGTGATAGAATCCGATTCAAAGATGTTGATTGATTCTATTAATAAGGGGCCATCCCAAAGTCTGAAGGAGACTGAGGTGATTCAGGTCCATATTTGGAATTATGCTTCTCAGATACCTATGGTAGAATGGAGGGTGATTAAACGAGAAGCTAATGCTGCTGCTCATTGGATTGCTACCTAGACTGTGCAAAGAAACCTTCCCCCCACAATGGAATTTTCGTATGCCTTCTAGGCTTTTAGACATTTGTTGTAAAGCAGCTCATGTTGATGTAAGCTAAAAGCCAATCTCGTACTGTTTGAAATATATTAATGAAGATTTCTGACCCCAAAAAAATCCAAACCTTGAGAGATAAATTTCCATGGATTTTGATAAGAGCATCTACCCACTAAATTGGAGTCTCATCCATTGGTGAATGGATTCAATACTTACTTATCCAACAAAGCCATATTTCTCCACTCTATGACCAACAGCCAACCCCCTTTTAATTTTGATTTTGACACAATTTTCCACCTAATCAGGTGATCTTTTTTCCCTCCCCAATACCTTGCCCTAAAAACACCATCATCATCATGGCAACCTTTCTTAGGATCTTAAAAAGGGACACAAAATATATAGGAATACTACCTAAACACAGACTAAATCGAAGCATGCCCCTTTGGACAAACAACCTTTTTTGAACCTTCTAGTCTTTTTTGCACTCTCTAAAATGGTTTCCAGAAAAAGAAAAAAAAAAGATATATCCCCAGAGGAAGACCCAATTATTTTAAAATCCAGTCACTCACAATACACTCCAATCCCCTAGGCCCTAGCTAATCCTTCTATATTACTCCTAGGAGAATTAATTCCAACAAATCTCTTGGACAGAGTCACCTTCAATCCTGGCACTGTAATTGAAGTCCTAACAATGTATTCTAAATCCTATGTATCCTATATATACATAGGATCATCTGCAGTGTAAATGAGTAGCACAAATCATATCATTCCACACTGGAAAAACCTTCCACTAAGTCATTATCCTTCCCTCTAGACACCAAACAACTTAATCCATCAACTGCAGTGTAAAAAGAAAGGGTGAAGTTGGAACCAGGGGTCAATCCTCAAGATGCCACTGCCTTTCAAATTAATTTTTGAAAATTACTCATTACTCACCCTTCATTCTATATTCCCCTTCCACTTCATTGACCACCAAAATAATATCCAAGATTTGTTTCTTCTTCACAAGTGCACTCTGATTTCTAGAAATTGTATCCCCTAAAATATTTCTCAATCTAATGGGCAACCATTTCCCTAAAATCTTTTAAAAACTAGTACTCAATCTGATCAGCCTAAAATCATGAATTTTCCTAAAATTTTGTTTTTAAGTACCAGACAAAAAGAAAATTGCATCATACTTTATTAATTCCCAATAATCTTAAAACAAAACCACAGAAAAACCAAGCAAGCCCTAGTACTTGTCTCTACAACATTCACAGAACGCTACTCTCACTTCTTACTCCTCAAAAGGTCTTTCAAACCTTCTGATTTTTGACAACCAATAGGGATCCACTCCAAACTATATATTGACCTCAAACATTTTTCAGCCAAGTAAAGAGATTTGAACTACTTCAAGATTTCTTCCTAAACACACCTTTCATGTGTAATGCCTTTATTGGAGAGATCTAACTAAAATAAATGGAAACTTCGAGTAAGATGCTCACATTGCAAAATAGGGCACACCTTCCACTTGAACATTTTATGCACGTCATGAATTTGCTCACTAATGGTTAAAAACAATTTTGTTAAAAACCAACTGCATAAAAGACGAAGATAAAGAATTGGCTTCAGTCTAGAAAGCAGCCAAAACAAACATGATTCAAAGTATTCGTCAAGTTGTATCTAAATCAACACCTTCCAATCCAATATTGTTCCACGTTTTGTGTAAATCGTGGGTCTCACATGGCCCAGCCAAGTTGTACAAAACTTTTCCGAATAATTCTAGTCATTGTTACTAAATCGTTCATATAGTTCCGCTACACCGTGATATAACTTGAATCTTTTTCAATGTGAATTTCTTCTATGTAGCATTTTGTGCAAATCACCCAATACCATTCCATGACATCGTAACTAATGTGTGTCAGTGTCTTTCAAAAAGAGGTGTGTCCATGGTTCAAAGTATCAACCGATACTGATACTAGGCGGCGTATCCAACTCGACACCCGCTAAGACGATACTATTACTCGTATAGACCCGAGTCTCGCACCATTCAACCAAGTTGTATCTGAATCAATCCCGAGCAATGATACCTAGATCGTGGGTCGCTTTAGTACGTGGTATGGGTACATGGTACAATACTTTCTTAAGTATGCAGTACGATGGGGTACGTTTAGTTAGTACAATATTTTGGATCGCAATTTGTTTTGGAATTCTTATATCGATCGTTTTCACTACTATACAACATTATATATTACAGAACATTCATAAACACTAAGTTAGTTACAATTTATCTTATAGTTATGCTTGTTTTTCTATTATCTAAAACAATATATAATTATAAATCTATATACATGTAGTCAATTAATATGTATTTTATATTTGTGCTACATGTTCTAAAACAACTTGATTTAGGATTAATATTACAATTTGGGGCCGTCTATTTTAGTGATATGGATCGCGAACTCACCTCGTTTTCAATTAATGTATCCAGATTATATATCATTACGAGTTTAGTGAATTGTGATAACTATGATCCCGAGTCAATCTCGAGTTGTCATCATCAAATCGGTCGATATAGTTCTACGGCACCGCAATATGACATGAATCTCTCATCATGTTTAACATTTTCTTTTAAGTCGTATCGCCTTATACCGCGTCATGACCAATATGTCCCAGAGCTCTTCGAGTTGATAGTCGATATTGCGACCTTGAACCATGGGTGTGCCACCTCTAAGAAAGCCAACAAGCACAAAGAAAATAAAGGACAAACATTATTATGGGACAAATGATCAAACGTAGGTGAACTTCAAACATACTCCATGCATACACCACCAAGTTGAAGTAAGGACTCTGTTACCAACAAAAAATTGGAAACCCAAGAGATAGATGAGGGTGGCCTTAAAACAAAGAACTACAAGACTCCACTAATGGATAATGCTAATGTTGTCTATTTCAACTCAGCTCTAGACGACTCATATTCTAGCAATGATCAAGAAAACGATGAAAAAGGGGACAATGTCAAGAGGGATGAGCTAAATGGAGTCCCCACCTTAAAAATGTTAACAAAGATAAAATTCTTGGCTCTAATGTTGGAGAAAAATCGCAGACAAGGGAAAGATGGTTTATGTGAAACTGTTGGGCAATCAACCAGATACAAAAAATGATCTGCACCTTAGCCATTAATTTTCGAGGCTATCTGTATACACAAAAAAAAAAAGTGAAGGCACTATAAGACGATGGATTTATAATGGATCACTAAATATTTTTGAGATGGGAATCAATTTTCAAAATATTAGAAGCAACGAAAAACACAATAACTATTTGAGTCAAACTATCTAAGCTTTTCGTATGATCCTACAATGAGAAATCACTTTAATAGAACACCAACCCGTTACGAAAACCAATTATAGTGGATACCCAAGGCTGTTGTAAGAGAGGAAGGAAAGTTTGAACAAGTCTATCTTGAACCAACATAAAAAAAATTCCTCATCTCCAAATATGAAGCGAATGGAAATAAATACGTAGTTGAATACGATGGTGCACTCAATATGCTTCAACTGTGGATGAGTCATACAAACTGAGAGACATAGCCCAGCAACTAAGATGTTCTAAAAAATAAAATAAAACAGTTGCATATTCGAGAGGCCAGTCAAGGGCTAGTACTAACTGACATAGAGACAAAACTAAGATGAGCCCACCCAAGCCAAGTATGGTTTAAGGTCGTGATATAGGTCATCAACTCGATGGCACTAAGGCCCATCGTTCTTGGAATAACATCAAGTGATATGCATTAAATGATAGACAAAAGAACAAATTGGACATGATGAGAGATTCAGACCATAATGTGGGGTC